ACTGTCTGGATGGTATTCATCTAATGGATACATATCTATCAGGGAACATGTATATATTAATTAATTTTTTTGTAGGCCAGCATTACTTTTTTTTTTCTTGACAAACACAAAGATGTTTACCATTTCACTAGCTGCCAAACTACCTTTCTTTAATCACTATTAAAGATCCATATATGCTAGCTACATATAAACATAGTGTGAAATTTGGAACATATACAGCAAAGATATATTTTTTCCTCTCAAGAACTACTTTTCCTATTATTTTTTTTTTCCTTTCAAGAACTGCTATTGAATTACTATCTCCAAGTATTTCACTAAATACTTAAGCACTTCTCTTCTGCCTCTTTGGTTCTTCAAGTATATATCTTTTTTTACTTAGCTTTCTTCATAAGTATATGTACAAGAGTAAACACAAGCTGAAAATAATAATATTGTTAACATATGTTTACATTTCTTGGGATTTCTGAGTTCTTACAATTTTTCTTCATTCTTCTACTTAAGCTGCTATTAGATGTCATTAAATAATCTATGACATAGTAACCCTGTGAACAGACTGGTACCCCATTCAATTCTATACTATCCTCATAATCATACATACATACTCAATCCAAGTGTCGCAGTCACTGTGTCAATTCATCATCTTGAGTGTCTACCTTTCTTTCATTGATCCGCTGCTGTGCACAGTATAATGTCTTTTCCAAGGATAAACTTTGGGCATGTGGCCAGGAGGGATCAATTCTTGGAGGAGTGCATCATCCTTGGAAGGACTGAGAGACAGTGCAAGCGAGGAAGACCTCGGATAAAATGGATCAACATGGTCACTGGGGCAATGGGGTTAGGTGTGTCAGAGTCAGTGAGACTGGCTCAGGATAGGGCAGGGTTCAGAGCTGCTGTACATAGGGGCACTATGAGTCATGAGCAACTCGAAGGCATGTAATAACACCACCAGCACAGATTCAGTAAAAAAGATTAGTAGTTTCCAGGTGTTCAAAGGCTCACAGGAAGAACAGGTGTAAAATAAGTCAGTGAAATGTATGGTGAACTATAATGATGGATACCTGAAATTACGCATTAGTGAAAATAGAACTATATGACCCAAAGTATGAAGCTTAATATAAATGATACATTTTAGTTACCAATAATGCCTTAGTATTGGTTCATCAATTACAACAAATGTAACACACAGAGGTAACAGGGGAAATTGTGGATAGGTGTATGTCTTGGATAAAGTGCAACCTGGGTGCTCCTTAGAGGCAAGGATGGTGACAATTCATCTCATACACTTTGGGCATGTTGTCAAGAGAGGCTGGTGTGTGTGTGTGAGAAACATCATGTTAGGATAGGTGGAGGGTCAGTTAAACCGAGAAAGACCCTCAACAAGACGGACAGATACACTGACTGTGTCAATGGGCTCAAGTATGTAAGAAATGACAATGATAGTACAGGACAGAACAAGGTTCTGATCCATTATTCACAGGGTCACTGTGAGTCATAGTCTTTTCGATAACATCTAACAACGACACAGTGAATTTCTGTATGCCCTGTACATGGATTCCATAAACCTGACGTTGTTACAGAAAGTAACATTTATTAAATATAATTTAGTCACTCCTTATTCATCTCTAGTGGCCTAGTGGTAAGGAGCAGGGCTGTCAACCCAAAGACATGTGATTTGAATCCACCAACAGAAGGAAGAATGGACAACCAACTGCAGAAGATGGACAGTCTCTTCCCATGTGATTTAGAAATTCACTGAAAAGTCTAAAACGGCTGCTGGAGGGTCAGCTATGAGTCACTTATGACTTGAAGCACTTAAAAATGACAACTCACTCATTAGCATGGTTAGGTTGCAAAGAGAAGGTTGTTGTTGTTTGTGCTGTTGAGTCGCTTGTGACTCATAGCGACCCTATATACAACAGCCCTAAACGCTGCTCTATCCTGTGCCTATCACATTGCCTCTGACACACCCATCCCAATTACCCCAGTCACTGAATCAATCCACCTCATAGAGGGTCTTCCCCTCCTGCGCTGTCCCTCTACCCTCCCAAGTTGATATCTCTCTCCAAGGACAGGTCCCTCCTTACAACATGTCCAAAGTATGTTAGTCGGAGCTTCAGAATCCTGGCCTCGAAGGAGCCACCCGATTTAACCCTTTCCAGGACAAATCTGTTTGTTTTCCTAGCAGTCCATGGTATTCTCAATACTCTTCCCCAGCACCACAGCTCAAAGGCATCAATTCTCCTTCTATCCTCCCTAGTTATTGTCCAATTCTCTGATGCATAACAAGTGATTGCTAAGACCATGGCCTGTATCAGATGCACCTTAGTCTCCACAGAGACACCATTGCTCTTCAGCACTTTGGAGAGGTCCCTAACAGCAGAATTTCCCATGGCAATGTGTCTTTTAATTTCCTGACTACTGGTGCCAAGAGTATTGACTGTAGAGTCAAGCAAATTAAAGCTGTGAACAATCTCAATCTCTTCACCATCCATCCTGATGCTGACAATTGGTCCAGTGGTGAGAATCTTTGTTGACATTGAGCCTCAATCCATATTGAAAGCTGCAGTCCTTAACCCTCTGCAGCAAGTGCTTCAGGTCCTCCTCAGTTTCATCAAGCAGGGTTGTGTCATCTGTATAACGCAGATTGGCGATAGATCTTCCACCAATACTGATTCCACATTTCTCATTAGAGCCCAGCCTGCTGGATAATCTGTTCTGCATACATTATAGCAAAAAAAAAATGTCATTTTACAAAATTCCAGTGACCAAATGCTCCTCGGGCTCTAGGCGCTAGTTTGGAGGAAGCCTCAGAAGCCTCTGCACATCAGCAGCCTTCCACAGCTTTCTCACTGCACACCACAACCCTGCACTCTGCACAGGTCAGTCCGTTGTGCCATTTCCATCTGTAGGCACAGCCCATTAGGTCAGGCATTCAGCTCAGGCAGGGGAGGCCCTCTACTAAAATCCACCCAGAGTTCTTACTCTCCATGCAAATGTCCTCCCACACTGGACAACTTCTACTGACCCTGGCACATTCATGTGCACACACAGGAGATCTCAGGGTCTGTAATGAAATGAAGTCACTAATGCTCATTTTTTCTGAATCCTTTTGATTCCTTCTCAGATTCCTGATTCAAAATCCGTTTTTTGGTTCTGGCAGGAAAGCCATTAATGTGCATTCAGGGAGAATACAGAACTATGGTCTCAGGTTAAACATCAGGCCTTTTATCTTTATCCAGATCCAAGACCTGAGACAAGGTTGAGGTGGAGAATTATCTAGGACAGGGGAATGCAGAGAGAGGCAGTCTCTCATTGAAAACATTTGGCTCCTTACCTGGTTTCCAATTCACTTAAGGGTATTGTTTGTTTGTTTGTTTGTTTGTTTACTATTAAATGTTTATGCAGAACAGATCATTCGGGAGGCAGGGCTTTATGAAGAGGAATGTGGCATCAGGATTGGAGAAAGACTCAACACCTACATTAAGCAACTGATACAACTTTGCTTGCTGAAATTGAGGCAGACCTGAAGTGTTTGCTCCAGAAGGTCAAGGACCATAGTCTTCAATATCAACATCAAGATTACAAAGATTCTCACCACTGGGCCAACTGGCAGCATCATATTAGATGGTGAAGAGACTAAAGTTGTTAACAGTTACATCTTGCTCTGCTCCACAATCAACACTCTTGGCACCAGCAGTCAGGAAATCAAAAGATGATTTGTATTAGGCAAATCTGCTGTCAGGAACCTTTCCAGAGTACTTGAGAAGCAAAGAAGTCAGTCTAGAGGCTAAGATCCACCTCATCCAGTCCATGGTCATCACAATTACTTGCTATGCATCAAAGAGCTGGATAATGATTAAGGATGATAGAAGAATTTATGACTTTGAGTTATGGTGCTGGCGAAGAGTATTCAAGTTTCTCTTTGGAGGCTAAGATTTTGAAGCTCTATCTTATATTGCTCTGGGCCACATAACAAAAACAACAACAATTACATAATAAATGGAGGGCAGAGTCAAATAGCAGGATATTAAGAGTTACTCACTGATACTAAGTAGAAACTGACTCTTAGTGGACACTACTGGTTTTCTGAAGCTACATATTTCAAGGGAGAAGACTGCTTATCTTTCTCATTAAGGGGCACTAGTAGATTCAGCCCATCAGAGAGGCATGGCTTCTGAGTTAGCAGTGCAATTCCCTCTGGAGTAGGTGACCGGAGCTCTCTAAGTGAGGAATGTTTGAGGAATGTTGTCATTGTTGATTGCCGTCAAGTCGATCATGACTTATAGCAACCCTATGAACTAAAGGTGCGAAGCCTTTCTATAGCTATGGACATTTATCAAAGTTCATAGAGTTTCCAGAGGCATGCTGTTTAGGAATTGAAAGTCACTCTTCCAGTAGGTGGAGTAATTTTTATGAATATATTAATAGGTTAAAAATATATGGCAGTCCCAAAGAGCTGGCTGGAACCTCTATTATTGACATAATTTTCCCTCTCCAAATTTATTTTCTACTACTTCCTCTAATACATTGTGTGGATACTAATGACATTGGACTTTACTATTTATAAACACTGACTGGATTTTCTAATGCTTCAGTTCAATTTGGAGCACACCTTATCTCTTTTTTCTTAAACTAAATTTTTCATAAAAAAACCTAAACAAATAAGTCCTATTTGAGATTTTATGTATGTATAATAGTCAAGCATATGTGTTTATACATAGAAATATACCCACATAAGGACATATTGTGCATTATAAGGGAGAGTAGAGATATTCAGGGAATTTTTGGCAGTTTGAATTGAAACTTGTGCTTTAATAATGGATAACCATATCATTACCTGAATTATAAAGTAACAGAAAATAATTATAACTACAAAGTTTTTGAACACATAGTCATATTTCTGTATGAAAAGATGACACCCTTTAAAATGAGATGAAGTCCACCAAGAAAAATGTACATTTGACTTGATTTTTGTTTCAATTAAGAACCAAATATCTTACCATTGTGAGGGTAAATGGATGATTTTCTAATGCAGACACACTAGGACAATGTAGGATGATATACTAAAAAGAAACAAATAGATGATTTTTAAATGATCAAAGAAATTAAACTATTCCAATGATGCTATGTCTGTTAATTTTTAAAAATGAAATAAAGATGTAGAATATTTTAAGATACTGACTCACCTGACCAGGTCTTGCTTTAAAATTTTCTTTGATCATGCGGATTTCCATGACATCCGAGGGATGACTTATGACAGAGATGATGGTGACTGGCTTATTGCTCCGAATACATCTGTACAGTCTTTCAGCACAATAAAGACACAAAGGTCCAGAAATCCAAAGCCAAGTCTATAGGAGAGTTTTTGAAAATAAACCTTCAGAAACACTCTGAAGAATCTCTATACCGTACCTAAATGCTTATCAGATACATTTTAGCAATAACATTTTAATTAGCATTTTTATTGAAATTTTAATGAAAGTTTATAGAGAACTTGGATTTCCATCCATTCATTGTTGCATTTTTCTCCCTGATCACCCCCACTCAGTTTGCTTTCCTCTTTGGGAGAAAAAAATTATTTCATTGTTGTACATTTCCCCACCCACACCCCAGTCCACTTTACAATGCAGCTCTTATTCTGCACTGTTATCATGCAAATAATACCTAATCATATATTCCTTTTAAGCAGTTCTTTTTCTCATCTATTCCACTGCAGTGTACGTTATTTATCTCCTTTTCTTAGTTTCTCCCCAACCCCAATGTCAGTTGTTTTATAACAGTGGCATTATATAGTATATGTCCTTTTGTGACTGAACTATTTCACTCAGCATAATGTCCTCCAGGGCCACCTATTATACATAAAATTTCATGAGTTCCTTGTTTTTCAGTGCTGTATAGTATTCTACTGTCTGAATATACTACAGCTTCTCTATCCATTCATTTGTTGATGGGCACTTGGGCTGTTTCCTTCTCTTTCCTATTGTGAACAATGCTGTATAAACATGAGTATGCATATATCTATTTGGATGGCAGACTGGTTTCTTTAGGGTATATTCCCAGAAGTGGAACTGCTGAGTCAAATGGTCTATTTCCAACTTTTTTGAGAAAGCACCATTCTGCCTTCCATAGTGGTTGCTTGGTTGGTATTTTTAATGTTTTTGTTTTGTGTCATCAATTCAGAACCAACTCATAGCTGATCCTCCAGCAGGTTTTCAGAGAAAGTGAATCACACAGGAGGGAACTGTTCATCTCTGTTCCACGGAGCACCTGATGGATCCAAACTGTAATTCTGGGTTGGCAGCAAAGCTCCTTATCACTAGGTGCTTACTCCAATTCATTCATATGACATAAAAAACATAAAATAAAAGGAAAATGGGGTCATGGGTTCTCTATCACACCCAGCTATAATTATCCGTAACTACGAGGCATGCTTTCCCTCACACATTCTACTGTGCACACAGTAAACAGGTAATATGTATGTACATATTAGAAAAAGAGAAGTTGACAGTTTGGATAAAGCAGCATTTTAGTTGAAAAAGTGTTGTTCCAATGCTCATTTTTTTTTAAAAAAGAACATTTTAGTTCTTTTCTAAATTAAATAAATATTTTAAAAAATACAATCCAAAATATTTGCAAAGGTTTTTAAAGTATATTTTATTTTCAAGTTGGTTCACTATTTGAATATTTTGAATATTTGAAATATTTGAAATTTTACTTTGAATAGCTGAAAATTATAAAAATATGTAATATGAGTAGATGTTCATTGAAATTAATAATATTAATAAAAGAATTTAACAAAATATATAATATGAGATATATGGACAACTCTGGCCCTAAGCCATGCAAGTACTTTAGGAAGTGTAGAGGCCAGCCTTTCTCTTATAACTATAGACTTTCTCTTATAACTACATGCATACATACCTCTCCCTCACCACTTTAAGGCCTCTACTTAATAAAATCAGCATTTTTATGGTATTTTACAACCTTACACAGTTGCCCTAGACCTACCACTTTCACACAGATAGATCGTACTTCTTGCTTATTAATGGCATTTAGTTCAACAGTGTGCGAAGCGTTGGCATCAAAGGACAAGCATAATAAGATGGTAACCTTGCAGCTTAAGAATAAAACTCCTTTAGTTATTGATAATAACCTGATTAAAACATGATCTTCAACATTTGGCCTTCCACAGTCAGCATTGTGTGAAAGCCTGGAAATTCTGAAAATTGTCAGTTCTAATTAAAAAAACCATAAGGGCTGTTATTAAAAATAAGCATAAGATTAGTATTCTTTCTAAAAATCATCCCTGGATTAACTAGATATTTACTCCCTTATTTTCTCTTGTCAAGATAAGACATTTCATATCACAAATTTACGTTCTTTGGGTATGATATCAGAAGGGTTTGGTCCTTATAAAAGGACATTATAATTGAAAAGGTACAGGGCAAGAGCAAGTAAGGAAGATCCTCAAAGAGATAGATTGACACTGTGACTGCTAAAATGAGCATAACACAGAAGACCCTGTGGCATATACCTGTTGTATACAGTTTTGCTGTGAATCACAGTCAAGTGAAGAGCACTGAACATTTCAGAATTAGACTCTATATAGGTAAAGAAATCTCCTGTTCATCTTTCATACTTGAGCACATCTTTCTTTTGTGCTGATCTGTGTACAAGTTTCAGGGTTTCTTCTACCTCCCTTTTTGGTCTATTTTTTTCTTTCCTGTCTTTGCAATTACCTTTTAATTTCTTCACAGCTGATATTCTTGAGATAGCCCCACTATTCATCTGGTAGTCAGACATTAGTGCTTAATTTGTTAAATACATTCATGAGATAATTTTTAAATTTAGCTAGGATTGAGTCAAAGCTATGTGTTAGTTCTTGTATACTTGTTTTCTTTCTTCCTTCCCCCCCACCAGCTTCAGTTTAAACTTTCACATTAATAATTAATTGATGGTCTGTTTCGCAATCAGACCTAGGTCTTGTTTTGACTACTCATGATGAACTTCTACATCAACTTATTCCATAGGTATAGCAAACGTGGTGTATAGTTAACATTTATATTGGGGGGGTTTAAGAATTTGAAACAAGTAAATAATCCATTGTACAAAATTCTATCATAGAATCTCTAGTATTATTTTGTCCCTAAGGTCATATATTTCAACTGTCAGTCCTTCTTCATTTATAATTTTTGTAACCCAAGCAACAAGTCTTTGATTAATGTACTTTGACTGCATGGTTGATAAATTTTTAGAATACATAAGCTGACAGAACACTTCATTTTTTTCATCTTTTACTTTAGTGGTTTGTAGATATAAAAGGATAATAATTCTATTAACAAATCTTCCTTGGATGTATATAGAGAGTATTCAGTATTGATATGGAAATATTGTTTTAGATTATAAATGTGACACCATTCCTCTTCAATTTGTTATTTCTGGTATAATGATTCAAACAACTATCTGATTTAAAGCAGTTAAAACCAGTCCTTCTCAGCTAATACCTAAAATATCAATATATATGGGTTCCATTCATGTTTACACCTTCAAATTTAACTAGACTCATACTTTGTACAATTCATATACCCATCATTAATGCATGTTTGCAACTGTTTCTATTTATTTATTGAGTGCCCTCCAATATGAAGGTCTCATCTACCAGCTCTCTAATCAATAATATTCCTGTTATTCATGGAATTTTCAAAGGTATTTCAAAAGTGGATGGCAAATCCTGCTTCTTAGATCGTCTTAGTCTAGAGGCTCCATTGAAACCCATTTACTAAGGGCAAACCTGCTACTATTTTGAAATACTGATGGTTCAGAATCAAAGCAACATAAAAGTCACCAAAGTACAGCAAACTGACAGACAAATACTACAGCTATAAGAGTAAATTTAAAAGCAAGCAAAAATACAAATACCACAGAAGAAATATGTATGCTATGGGAAATAGAAGACAAGTTTTCTGGCCTAGGACAGTGTAACTGCCAACTCAGCAAAAGACAAGAACTGGGTGCCCAGTAAGGTCAGATTTTCTGCTCTTCTAAGTGATGACAAGGGCCCTGAAAGTAAGTTTAAGGATAAAGTCAGAATACAAATTTGGATTTACAACTTCCAATGCTGGCTTTTCTTCCCTGGAGATTCAATTAAATTTAAGAAGTGTTTTTCATCAGGTAGAATGAAGAGTTGAGTTGCTAACCAAAAGTCCATGTCTCTCTGGTAGTCTGAATGCCCCAGTGGTTTCTCAGAAGAAAAGCAGGCAATCTACTTCAGCTTGAGGTACAGTAGTCTCTGGCATCTAGTGTGGGATCAGTGATGAATGAGGTTTCACTCTATGGCAAAGAGATGATGGGATGGAGGCTCACAGAGAGAGGGAAAGGGAAGAAAATCTTTTTCAGAAATATTACATAAAAACCTCAAGGCTTGGGGAAACTATCTTGATTCCATTCTTAAATAGGCCTTTCCTGTTGTTAAAGAATGGAAAAGCATTAAATGCAAATAATAAAAAGAAACCGTTTCCATGATAAAAAAATGTTTTAATATTTAAATAAACACAGATGACTTTATAATGTGCCAATTGCAATAAGCTTATACTTATACCAGGAGGCAGTCATCAGAGCAGAGCAAGGGAAACACTGCATGGATCAAAATCAGAAAGGGTGTACACCAGGTATGTGTCCTATCTCCATACCTTTTCAATCTATATGCAGAACAGATCATCTGGGAGTCTGGGCTCTATGAGAAGTGTGGCATCAGGATTGGAGAAAGACTCATCAACAACCTTTGTTATGGAGATGATACAATCTTACTGCTAAAACTGAAGAGGGCCTGAGGCATTTGCTATAGGTCAAGGATTGGAGCCTTAAATATGGATTGAAGCTCAACATGAAGAAAACAAAAATTCTCACCTCTGGGCCAATTGGCAGCATCATGATGACAGTGAAGAGATTGGGATTGTTAACAGCTTTAGTTTGCTTGGCTCCACAATCAACACTCTTGATACCAGCAGCCAGGAAATCAAGAGACGAATTGCATTGGGAAAGTCAGCCATCAGGGACCTCTCCATAGTACTGAAGACCAACAATGTCAGTCTGTAAACCAAGGTTCACCTGATCCAGGCCATAGTCTTTACAACTGCTTGCTATGTGTCACAGAGCTGGACAATGACTAGGGATGATAGAAGGAGAATTGATGCCTTTGAGCTGTGGTGCTGCAGAAGAGTACTCAGTAGACCATGGACTGCCAGGAGAACAAATAGATTTACCCTGGAGAGGATGAAACCAGGTTGCTCCTTAGAAGCAAGGATTCTGAAGCTTCATCCAACATACCCTGGGCATGTTTCAAGGAGGGACCAGACCTCGGAGAGTGACATCATGCTTCGAAGGGTAGAGGGATAGCCCCTGGATGTGATGGATTGATCCAGTGACTTAGATAATGAGGGTTGATGTGTCAGAAAAAATAAGGTTTGCACAGGATAGAGCAGGTTTCAGGGCTGTTGTACATATAGTCGCTATGAGTGCAAGAAACTCGACACATAACAACAAGGGCCTTAAGGTTTAATAAGAACCAGAAGTGAGAAGATCAATTACTTTGAATCCAAGGTTCAAACGGAAAGTAGAATGCTGAGTAGTAAACAAGGGGAGAGAAAGCATTAGGAAAATGTTGCTGATCAGGTAAATCAACATTCTCTCTTTGGGTAAGCACTTTTTCCTAAATTTGTTTGCTTAGCTGAGTCCATGACTTTTTCTCTTAAGTTGTACTTGAGGATTTTTAAAGTGAGCCAAGAAAGATAATTTGTTATTGTTAAGTGCTGTCAAGTACAACTCATAGCTACCCTATAAACAACAGATCGGAACCCTGTCCTATCCTCTGCCATCCTCACATTCTCTGACGCAGGAGCCCACTGCTGAAGTCACTATGTCAGTCCACCTGGTTGAGGGTCTTCTTCTCTTGCACCACCCTCACATTCCTAAGCATGAAGTCTTTCTCCAATGAATAGCCTTTCCCAGCAACATACTCAAAGTATGTGAGATGAAGTTTTATCATCTTGGCCTCAAAGTAACACAATGGCTACCCTTATTCGCTAATACCACAGTGCAAAGAAATTGATTCTTCTGTCATCCTTATTCATTGTCCAGCTCTCAGATGCACAAGAAGGACTGAAAAGGTCAAGGCTTGAATCTGGCATACTTTAGTTCTCAAACTAAAAGCATTGCTCATCAATAATTTGGAGCAGTCCCTGACTGCAGACTTTCCTAGTACAATGCATCTCCTGATTTCCTGACTGCTGGTGCCAAGGGTGCTGATTATGGATCCAAGTAAGAAGTAGTCATTGACAGTCTCAATCTTATCCTGTCTCCGTCTATTATAATTTTGTTTATTGGTCCAATGGTGAGAATTTTCATTTTCTTGATATTGTGATGCAATCCATATTGAGAGTTTGTTGACTGTAGCCTTTGATCTTCTGCAGCAAGTGCTTCAAGTTCTCCTCACTTTCAGCAAGCAAGTTTGTAGCATCACCATAATAAAGGTTACTTATAAGTCTTCTTCCATTCCTGATGCCAGATTCATCTATGTTCAAAGAGTTCATCTTCTTGAATAATTCATTCAGCACACAGATTTAATAGGTGCAGTGAAAGGATACAACCCTGACATACACCTTTCTTAATTTTAAACCATGTACTCGCTCAGCATAACTTAAGCTCAAGGAACTGAAGAACAAATTCAAACCTCGAGTTGCTATAATCAAGGATGCTTTCGGCCGAATTTTAAATGATCCGGGAACTATTAAAAGAAGATGGAAAGAATATACTGAGTCACTGTATTGAAAGGAATTGGAAGACACAGAAGAATTTCATGAAACAACATATGAGCAAGAGCCTATGGTGATGAAAGAAGAAGTCCAGGCGGCTTTGAAGGAAATGGAGAAAAATAAGGCTCCAGGAATAGATAGTATACCAATGGACATATTTCAGTTAACAGATGCTGCCATGGACGTGCTCACCAAGTTGTGCCAAGAAATCTGGAGAACAACCACTTGGCCAATTGACTGAAAGAGATCGATATTTGTTCCTATCCCAAAGAAAGGTGACCCAACAGAATGTGGAAACTACAGAACAATCTCACTGATTTCACAAGCAAGCAGGATTTTACTGAGGATTATCCAAAAACGACTGGAACAGCACATCAACAGAGAGTTACCAGAAGTCCAGGCTGGGTTTAGAAGAGGTCATGGTACTAGAGAAATTGTAGCTGATGTTAGATGGATCCTGGCTGAAAGCAGGGAATACCAGAGGAATGTCTATCTGTGTTTCACTGACTATGCAAAGGCATATGACTGTGTAGCTCACAACAAACTGTGGCTGACTCTGAGAAGACTGGGAATCCCAGAACACTTGATCGTTCTAATGCGAAACTTATACTTGGATCAGGAGGCAGTCAAGGGAACACTGCATGGTTCAAAATTGGGAAGGGCGTACGCCAGGGATGCATCCTATCTCCATACCTTTTCAACCTATATGCAGAACAGATTATCTGGGAGGCTGGGCTTTATGAGGAGAAATGTGGGGTCAAGATTGGTGGACGATTTATCAATAATCTGCGTTATGTGGATGACACAACCCTGCTTGCTGAAACTGAATAGGACCTGAAGCGCCTGCTGCAGAACGTCAAGGACTGCAGCCTACAATATGGATTGAGGTTCAATGTCAAGAAGACAAAGATTCTCACCACTGGACTAATTGGCAGAATCGGGATGGATGGTGAAGAGACTGACATTGTACACAGCTTTAGTTTGCTTGGCTTCATAGTCAACAGTCTTGGCACCAGCAGCCAGGAAATTAAAAGGTGCATTGCCATGGGAAAGTCTGCTGTTAGGGACCTCTCCAAAGTACTGAAGAGCAATCGTGTCTCTCTGGAGACTAAGGTGCATCTGATACAGGCCATGGTCTTCACAATCACTTGTTATGCATCAGAGAGTTGAACAATGACCAGGGAGGACAGAAGGAGAATTGATGCCTTTGAGCTGTGGTCCTGGAGAAGAGTATTGAGAATACCATGGACTGCTAGGAAAACAAACAGATTGGTCCTGGAAAGGGTTAAACAGGGTGGCTCCTTGGAGGCAAGGATTCTGAGGCTCCGTCTAACATACTTTGGACATGTTGTGAGGAGAGACCGGTCCTTGGAGAGGGACATCATGCTTGGGAGGGTGGAGGGACGGTGCAGGAGAGGAAGGCCCTCTATGAGGTGGATTGATTCAGTGACTGGGATAATTGGGATGGGAGTGTCGGAGACAGTGCGACTGGCAAAGGACAGAGCGGAGTTTAGGCCTGTTGTACATAGGGTCGCTATGAGTCGCAGGCAACTTGAAGGCACATAACAACAAAACAACAACAATGTTCTGTTACTCTATTCACAAAATAGCCTCTTGGTCTAGGTTTTGCAGAAGCATGGTTAAGTTTTCTGGGACTTGCATTCTTCGCAATGTTAGTCATAATTTGTTATGACACACATAGTCAAATCTTTACATAGTCAATAAAGCACAAATAGACATTCTCCTGGCATAATCTGCCTTGAGCCAAGATCCATATGTCATAAGCAACAATATCCCTGGTGCCCCAGCCTCTTCTAAATCCAACTTCAACTACACAGAAGTTTTTGTGACACACAGAAGATAATAGCAAAGATAAATTGTAAGCAAAGATAGCATCTTAAGGTTGTATTTGAGAGCCAGTGGAGCTATCATAATATAAAATCTGGTTTTATTATCCTAATATGAAGAAGGACTACTGTGAAATCAGTATTGTTTGGGTTTGCTTATTTCCTGTCCAGTTTTAGTGTAATTAAAACTTAAATGAGCCTTAGCAAGAAAGTGATTAAGCGTTGAGCTGCAAATTGAAGGATAGGTGGTTTGAAACCAAGAGTCACTCCACAGAGGAGAGATGTGGCAGTCAGTCAGCATACATAAAAATTAAACCTCAAAACCACTTCCACCAAGTTGATTCAAACTCAGTGGCCATGTAAGACAGAACAGAACTGCAAATAGGTTATAAATTTTTGGGAGAGCCTAGGTCTTTGCAATCACTTGCTATGCAAGAGCTGGACAATGACGAGGGATGATAGGAGAATTGTTGCCTTTAAGCTGTGGTTTTTGAGATTACTGAATATACCATGGACTGCTAGGAGAACAAACAGGTTCATCCTGGAGAGAGTTAAATCAGGCTGTTACTTGAAGGCAAGGATTCTGAAGCTTCATCTGACATATTCTGGAATGTTGCAAGGAGGGACCAGTCCTTGGAGAGGGACATCATGCTTGGGAGGGTAGAGGGACAGCGCAGGAGAGGCAGACTCTCAATGATATGGATTCATTCAGTGACTGGGGTAATGGGGGTAGGTGAATCAGAGACAATAAGATTGGCATAGGATAGAGCTGTTTAGGGCTGTTATACATGGGGTTGCTATGAGCAACAGGCAACTCTACAGCACAAAACAACAAGAACAAGTAGTAGGTCTAAAACTTTACTTGCAATGCCATCAGGGCTCCTGTCCATAAAGAACGCAGCCTTGCAAGTCCTATGAGACAGGTCTACTCTGTCATGTAGAGTTTCTGAGACTCAAATCCGACTCAACACTAACAGGTAGCTAACACAAACACTTAAAAAGCACTCTCATCATTCTACAGGAACAACCGTTTATACTGTCTCAAAAATATGTAAGTGATTTTGATCAATTGTTAAAGGAACCAAAAATTTACAGAGACCATCTAAGACACAAAAATAATTTAACCTGTGGAAAATGAGCTTGGAATCTGGGCTCTTCTGCACAAATCTTTACATCTGTATTCCCGGTATGCTCCTTGGGTTTTGAAAATTCTTCAAAGAAAATTTCATCGAAGTCCTCTGAAAGATACTCTGAGAAGGGAATATTCCGGTAGCGAGTCCGATTAGGACTGATACAGCCAGGAGGGTGGGTATCTAAATTAGTTTGGTACTTCAGCAGCCCTCTAAAATTAAAAAAAGAGGGGGGAAAAGGGGAGAGGAATTAAAAAGGTACTGAGATCAGTGAACATAAGGAAAGAAAAACATCCTTTTTCTTGTTAACAATATGTATTATTTTCCTAAAAGGTATCTCTTACATACATTATTTAGGAGAAATGGAGTGATTCTAAAATGGGGTTGGGGGGAATTATTTTGCCAGAAAACTAAATGGAAATTTCTGGCCTCCCAAATAAATTCCACAATGCAATGACACTATTCTCAAACTTGACAGCCTTTATTTCAAGTCTATTAGGCTTTCATGCAGTCACACACACGTTTCACATCAATACACACTGTAAAGATGAGTAATTGCTGTATCTTCAAACCGAAATGAAAAAGTAGAGGAATCACATCTGATCTGGGTAAAACTTGCTAAAACAGACATTGCTGATTCAGAGAGAAATGTTCAACAAAAATAACAACAGGAACTGGAAGCTTGCCTCCCTTCTGGTCTGAAAACAATTTAAGCACAGCAATCAGACCCTCAAAACCTGTTTAATTTTAGATTTCTCTGTAAACAGGATGACATAATAGGCTTCAGATAATGAAATCAGGCAGGAGAGTCCAAACTCTGAAATTCTACTCTGATTCTGCCATTTTCATATCCTGTGGCATCCTAAGACAAAGCAGCCAATCTTCTGTGCTCTGTGCTTCCTGTTAGTAGGAAGTAAACTCTACCACATGGGGATAGTGCTTCAAATGAAAGATTGTAGAGTTCATCAAAAAGCAGCATAATTCACAAGCAAAAGCTGATAAAATAATCACATAAGATTACAGACGGAATAAAAAAATGTATAATTTATATCTGTTTCCAAAGACAAAAGCATTTTGCCTCTAAAATAGTATTTTCAGATTGGCCAAGGAGTCCTGGTGGTGCAATAGTTATGCACTTGGCTGTTAAATGAACTTAGAAAGATAAAACTCACCCATACTTCAAGAGAGGAAAATGTGGTGATCTATTCTACTAAAGATTAATCTTGGGAACCCTAAGTCATGATTGAGGTTTTTTTTTGCGATCACACCACAACAGTGAGAGCAGAGGGTTGAGAAACCTTCAACCAATACCAACAGCATGCATATCAAGTCAGGCGGTTAAAAAATTAGACATCAAAGAAATGTTTCAAAATAAACAAAGGCCAGAGGAGGGATAAAAGACAAATTTAGTGAGTGTGTGTGAAATATGTGTGTTTGGCATACTGGAAGAGAGATAGCATTATGCAAATAAATATTATATATCCCTCCTATTAGGGCAAAACTACAATAGGAAGGACATAGTTTTGTCATGCTTATGGCCTTTAGCACAGTAAATGATGGTATGATGGTACAATCCAGTGCACCTCTTCAAACTACCCTAATCAAATAACAGGGCTGCTGTTTCTGGTACAGAAAGTGATAAATAATATTTTAAAGTTCTTTTAATTTTAAGAGTTTTATGTGAAAATACTCTATGGCATATATCAAAAACTACCTCTATCTTGAAACATAAGTTTTCTTTGTCTTAATTTCTAACTGCTATTATCAAAGAAATAGAGGTTAAGAGAAAAAAACTCAAGACAAATAACATTAATGAAACATGTTAAAAATATAAACAAAAAATGTCATTTGTCAAAAATGGAGGGGAAATTTATTATGAAAACTCACGTTACAAGTCTCTAAGTAGGTGGAGAAGATACTGAAAGGCTCACAAGGGAACTCAGTACTCAGGACCCAGGTGCTGGGTATATTAGGCATTCCCTTAATGCTTCCAGGCTCACTTGCTTAGATTTCATAACACACTTGTGTGTTAAGTACCAGTGACCCTATCCTTTCAATGATAACTACAGGTAAAATGAGATCTGTTTCTAAGCATGTCTTGAAGTTAATTTGTACCTAAACTTAGTTTATAATTACTGTCATCATTTAGTGAACAAAATGTTTGAAGCCTTTTCCAAGATTTAATTGAAAAACTGCAAGTCAATTGTACATCAAATTGATGGTGACTGATAAAGAACTTCTGCCTGGATAGTTTGGTTAAACTATTTCCAAGTTAGAACAGCTTTAGTTGATATTAAAGGGCCACTCTCAGTTGTTTATAAGTCAAAAGTTCATAACTCAGGGAACTAAAGTGTTTAAGTCATTTACCTAAAATTACAATGTCAGTCAGTGGTAGAGCTGAGACAGTAAATTTGATTTCAAAATTCATTCTCCTTTACTTATGCCTGGCTTACATCTCTTTGCAGATTATTCATTTAAACTGAGAAGTTGTTGTTGTTAAGTGCCTTCGAATCATAGACGACCCATAGCGACCATATGAATGAAAGACCTGGACACTTGTATAATTTTCATCCCTTCCCCAGGTTCATATGGTTTCCAAAGGTAAGCTATTTTGGAAGTGGATGCCACTCCTGCTTCCAAGCTTGTTTTAATCAGGGAGCTCCACCAAACAGTATTCACCATGGGTGACCATTATCAGAACTTTGGGAAGAGTAACCTGAAATTGAAGGACATCATATTCCTTGAAAAAAATTTCATAGCACTGTATGACTCTACAACCAGAAAAGATAATAGCGTATTCCATCCACAGTAATACTTTATAAGGTTGCTATTTTCCAAATTAAATGTAACAATTCCCTATTTTACTGTACAAAATAAAAGTGTTTCATTTTTGTTCACAGTGTACAATATGTGTACTAAAGATCAACTCATTCCTCTCAAGTCATAGTTGGAGCCAACTAATAGCTTATCCTCCAGCAGGTTTTCAGAGACTAAATCGCTCGGGAGGAAATCGTCCACAGGTTAGCATCACAACTCTGTATCACTAGAGCTCATCTATACTGGTAGAATATAATATTTCTCAAAGATTACTTTTTACTTTTACATTTCTTTGGATATCTTTAATCAGTAAACACATATTATAATACAATACTGCAGATGACAGGTCAGAGGCAAGAATTACACACTCTGTCTCGAACTTAACTCAGGTTACAAGAGCTAAAACACCAGCTCGTAACCCCTTTAATTTTTTTTGCACAGAAGATCAAATTCTTTTTTATTAATGATTTTTAATGCAACATATATAATTCTTATAGCATATTCTTTCTATTTAATCTTTTCCCCACTCAGTCATTGTTGCACATTTTCCTCACTGTCCAACCTTCCACCCAGTATGTTTTTCTCTTTGAAGAAAAAACAATCTTTCATTGTTATACAATCCTCCCCAGTCCACAGTCCACTTTAATTTTGTTATCCTTACAGAGTAAGATAGTATCTCAGAGCTGTTCTGATTTGCATCTCTCTTAGAGGTAGGGATTTTAAACATTTCGTCATGTGCTTGTTGGCCATCTGAATGTCTTCTTTGGTGAAGTGTCTGTTCATATCCTGTGCCCATTTTTCAATTGGATTATTTACCTTTATCTTGTTGGGACGCTTGAGTATTCTACAAATTCTAGATTTAAGTCCCTTATCTGACATTTCATTATCATTACCAATTTTTTTTTGTTTTTTTCAGTCTGTGGCTTCCCTGTTGGAGAAGGTTTCGGATGTGCATAGGGATTTGATTCTTAGAAGGTCCCATTCTTCTATTTTTCCCTCTTCTGGTTGCAGGTTTTTCAGGATGCTTGGAAGACTGTTTATGTTGTGGCTTAGGGCTTCTAGAGTTCTTTCAAGCTTTTCTCTAATGAAGTTTACAGTCCTTGGTTTTATTCCTAGGTCTTTGATCCACTTCAAGTTGTTTTTGTGTATGGAGTGATGTTTGTGTGTATGGAGTGACGTGTGGATCTTGCTTGAGTTTTCTGCAGATTTCCAATTTTGTAAACACCATTTGTTAAAAAGGCTGTCATTTCCTCACTTAACTGATTTCATCTCCTTGTCAAAAGTCAGTTGACCATAGTTAGATGGGCTGATTTCTCGGTTCGCAATTCTATTCCATTGATCTATGTGTCTGTCATTGTACCAGTAGCATGCTGTCTTGACCACAATGGCAGTGTAGTAGGATTTGAAATTAGGAGGTGAGATGCCTCCTACCTTGTTTCTCTTTTTAAGGAATGCTTTGCTTATTCATGGCCTCTTTCCATTCCAAATAAAACTGGATATTTCCTTTTCCATCTTGTTGAAGAATGGGATTGGTATTTGTATTGGTATTGCATTGAATGTGTAAATTGCCTTTGGTAGTATGGTGATTGTCACACTATTGAGTCTTCCTATTCATCAGTAAGGTATATTCTTCCATTCCTCAAGGTTTCTTGTAGTAACGTTTTGTAATTTTCTTTGAGGAGATCCTTTGTGCTTCTGGTTTACTCCCAAGTTTACTTCTGATTTACTCCTAAGTATTTAATCTTATGATTAGCTGTTGTGAAGGGTATTGTTTTTCTTAGCTTCACCTCTATGTTCTCTTTGTCACAGCAGAGCAATCTAACTGATTTTTGTATGTTGATCTTGTATCCTGCCACTTTGCTCAATTGGTCAACTATGTCCAGTAGTTTTCTTGCTGCCTCTTTAGAGTTTTGTAAGTATCATATCATATGCATATAAAGATAATTTTACATCCTCTTTCCCAATTTATATACATTTTATTTCATTTTCATCTCTTATTGCTATCACTAAGACTTCCAATACAATATTGAATAGGAGCAGTGATAGTGGGCATGCTTGCCTATTCCCTGTTGAGAACAATGTTGGCTCTCAGGTTTGCATAAATACTTTTTAATATGTTGAATAAATTCCCCTCTAATCCTATTTTGTTGAGTGTTTTCATCAGGAAAGGGTGTTGAATTTTGTCAAAGGCCTTTTCTGCATTAATTGATAGGATCATGTGGTTCTTGTTCTTTGCTTTGATAATGTGAGGAATTACATTGATGGTTTTTCTTATGTAGAACCACCCTTGCATACCTGTTATGTATGAATCCTCCTTAGTCATGGGGATTTTTTTTTTATTGCATTGTTGGATTCTCTTGGCCAGGATTGTATTCAGGATTTTTTTCACTTCTAT